CCAGTGCCCCCTGCCCCACAACGGCCCCCCTGCCTCTACCCTGGTGCCCCCTGCCCCCTGCCAGACCCCTGGCTCCTGCCCAGTGCCCCCTGCATTGCCCTGGCCCCCTGTGCTCTCCCCTGGTGCCCCTGCTCTGCCCAAGTCCCCTCATCCTGGCTCAGTCCTCCTGCACCCGTCAGATTTCCTATCTCCCCACCCAGCCCAGCCCCAGAAGCTGACAGTGAGAGCACCCATCCCTGCCCCAGTGCTGCCTGAGCACCCCAGGGTGGGTCCCCATGGTTCCTGGGTCCCCCTAACCTCCCCAGCCCCTCTCAGACACCCCTAAAAGTGCCCACTTGCCCACTGACCCCCAGCCATCTCCCCTGCTCCGGGAGGTGCCCCCATCTCCCACGTCCCGTTCCTCCCAGATCCAGGGCCCCATGTCCTGGGTGGGCAGCAAGGGATGCCTGGGCAGCCCAGGGAGAGGGGGATGTCGCTTGGCAGGGGGCAAGAAGGGACACGGGCAGAGTGCTTCATGGAAAGCCAGCTCCGAGCTGCGTCCGTGCGTCCCCAGAGCCAGGACGGAAGGACAACTCGGCCCTCTGGCTATTTCTGCCTATGGCATGGGCACCCTCGGGTGCCAAGCACCAGGCAGAGCCCGCTGGCCAGAGGAGAACGGGCTGTGGGACACCCCCCGCCGGCAGCCTCAGTGGTGTCACCTCTTCCCATCTCTCTGACTTGGCACCAACGTGCTGCAAACGCTTGCCAGTGGAAGAAAATGGGTGGGGAAAGCAGCCTGCTCCTGCCAGAAAAGGCGGCCTGGGACCGGCCTCGCAAGGCTGAGAAGAGGCTGCCTCTGCTCTCCTTTTCAGTTGTCAAAGGCGTAATTAAACGTCCCCTTTGCTTTGCCTCCCTCAAGCTGGTCGTGCCCTGCCGCCCCGGCCTCATGGACCCAGCCTGTGCCACTGCCTAGGCATCTCTGCTGAGCTCTCCCCTGTCCACTCACCCCTCGCTCCTCCTGGGAGCCTGGGCTGGAGCCGGGAGTGAGGGGAAGGCTCCCTGCCCACCGCTCCATTGCGTCCAGCCATCGGCACTGCCCAGGGAATTGGTAGAAAAGAAAGTAAAATTGCCTTTGCCTTGCTGGGTCGTGCTCAGCCTGCCCAGCAAGGCTTTGTGCCGAGTTCAAGAGCAATGAGACCTTCCCATGTCCCCAGTCCTATCCCCGGTGCAGCCACTGTCCTCCCTGGGTCCCCCCGGGGGTCCCAGCTCTCCTTTGCATGCCCCTTTCCAAGCCCGCCTTAGGCGTTGCGACGGATGCTCCACAATCCATCTCGGACACCCTCGTTTGCACCAACACCAACACCTTGGATGTGTAACGGCCTCGGGAGCTGCAGCACCAGCCTGGGAGGCTGCCCGGTGCTGCTGGGGTGGTATGGCTGCACCCCGGGGGTACTGGGCTGCCCGGGGCAGGGCAGCTCATCCCCCTGCTGCTTTCCTCCTGCACCCCAGAATGGGGCGGTGAACCTGCCCAGCCCTGCTCCGGTTCACCCACCCCACCCGGCAGCGCGGGGCAGCGCGGGGTCCCCCCGCGGCCTGGAGCATCCCTGGGGCCGGAGCATCCTT